GCTGGCTCCAAAATTCATGCCTGAAGTCAAACAGCCCAGGTTCAAATCCCAGTGCCCCCCGCTCATCCACTGTTACTCCGGTAAATTATGTAAGCACACAGAGTTTCATTCTTCATTTGCAAATTATAGATAATAGTGATACTTAAATAATAGAGTTGTTGTGAGGATTGGCTAGGTGCTAAGTGGCACATAACTAGCAGCAGTCAAGCACTTACTATTATTTTTATGTACAGATAATCAGCAAATTGATAGTCGCCCTAAATCACAAATATTTAGAGCTGGAAGTGCCCTTTAGATCTTTTCCATTTTGCAGACAAGGGAGCAGGTCCTGAGAGGAGGGGGACTCCCTGAGTCCCCCAGGAGCCCACTCTCTCCTCCCTACTCCAGGGTTCTGCCATCAGCACGTCGAGTGGTTCTTCCAGATATTGGCATCACTGAGTGGATTTAGAGACAGGGTAGATGTATTTGCCAGGCCCCATGTACTGGGAGAACCATTTGCCTAAAAAAACTAATATTTTTAGTTCTTCCACGGAGAAAGTGTGCAGTCATACTAGAATTTTTGTTTCCTATTGGAGAAAACCCAGTGTACCAATGCAACAGCCAACTAGCAGGGCTCCAGAGCTTATGCTTTGGAGTTGAACAGACCCAGTTCTGTGACTTCACACAGATGACAACCCCCTGCCCCCAAGCCTCAATTTCTCCATCTGTAAAATGGGACAATGACTCCCGCTTTACAAAGCTTCTCTCCCTGGCACATAGTGGGTTCTCTGCAAAAGTCAGAAATGGGATCCTGGGACATTCCTTGGGAATTTCTTGGTATTCATATTTTAGGGTCATACTTAAATGATCAATCTGAATATTCCAGTTGAACTGGACCCCAAACGTAGGTTTTTTTCTTCAAGGAAGGAAAGGAAAGCAGTGAGTTATAACTCTTTACTGGATGAAAGACAAAAGCCAGCTGTGAAAAAACTTCCCAGCACAGGGAAGGACTCTCCCAAGCCCCTGAAAACTTTCATGGTTACGGAATCCTTTTCCACCCACGAATTTATGAAAATGCTCTTCTCAGAGACTCAGCCCCATTTTCCCTGCTTGGGGCACCCACTTGCTGCTCAGAGAGGTGTGGTTGGGCCCCAGGACCCCTAGAGCATCCCTTCATGGCCCACCTCTTAGCTCTTCCTTGAGGCCAAGGCCAAGGGCAGGGAAAAAGCTGAACACAGGGAGGCACATCCCCTCTCCTAGGGGTCCGTTTTCTGCCAAGACTGCCGCGTCAGCAGAACAAAAGCAAGTCTCTTGTTAGCACAAAGGCAGGGGGAGGGTGAAGCAGCCCTGTACAATTTTCCATCCGAGCAAGAGCTGGGGAAGCCAACTTGGCAGAGGATGCGGCTTGAAAAATAAGACTTACAGTTTGGCCTTCCACCACTGGAAAACAAAAGCCTGCCCGTTCCCACCAAAGGCTATGCTCTCCGCCTAGCACCCTTTCCACTCCAGGAGGGCTGGCCTGCCAGGGAAGGCTCACCCTCCTTCCCCACAACTCACACAGAAACCCATGAGGCACAGATAAAGGGCCATTGCCCCCGTTGGCATTTCACTCAGAGCCCCCAGCCAAGGAGGTACTGGCCACATGGTTCTGCCCCACAGCCCAGGGCCTGAGCCGGGCTCCAGGTCTGCTGCAGATGGATGATGAATTAGCCTATCAGAGGCAAGTCTTGAGAAACCAAGCCGCAGGTTGAGGAAAGAACGTGTGCTCTTAATTGCAGAGTATGAGTCAGTATCATATAACCCATTTAAGCAAAACAAAACAAAAAGTGATTACTCTTTTATGAGCACCTAGGAAGGGCGAAGCCCTGTGCTGGGTGAGTCCTGGAGGTTACTACTAAGAAATAAGGACTGCTCTCCCATTTTACAGATGAGGAGACTGAGGCTCTGGGAGGTAAATGCATTTCCCAAGGCAGCACAGTCACCCTGGATTGGCTGACTACAGTGCCTGTGGCCTCCCCGGCAGGTGCCACCACAGGGCTTCCTGTCCCCCTCGTTGGCAGGGCATCTGCCATATGCCCGGAGACTCCTAGGCCATTCGGGGAGAGGAATGGTGCTTTTATTGTCATGTCACACCCCCAGGAGACCTTGAAGGTGCCGGAGTTCTCCATCCTTCTCTTTCAGCCCCTGCAGGCTGGGCCTTGAGTGAATTCTCTTCGTCGGTGGTGACTCCAGGACTAGCCTGTGCTGTTCCCATGGGCCGGTGCGTGCACTGTGCCTATTGTGAATTGTTTGAGTTGGGTCACAGCCTCCCCAGTAAGAGGCCTGAACACCCCACTCCCCACCCTTCCTCTGATTTATAGAAGGGGACATTATATCAAAATGGGACCAAAATGTTTTTGGTAGGGACTCCTCTCCAATTCTGAGAAACAGATTAGAGGCAGGAAGCATTTACTGTGGGAGATTTCTCTTCAGGCAGGCATTCCTTGTTTTTCCTAAAGGCTCAGGATTCTCCTAGAGGTTCTAAACTTCGAACAGTCCCACCCACGAGGGTGGTAATTTGATTATCACAATGACTGGGGGTGGAATGGGGATGGTCCAGGGATCCTAAACATCCTGCAGGGTGGGGGACTCCCACAGTGGGAAGGACTGCCCCACCCGGAATGTCAACAGGGTCCCTCCCTGTTGGGAAACACTGACCGTGTCAAGAGGGCCGGCCCCCTGTGCTGGCCCATCGAGGGCTCACGGTACCTATCGACTGAATAAAACCAGGTACATCAGGTTGTAAACCCTCCCCACTTACTTGGCTGCGTAATTTGCTTTTTTATGGTACACGGCATGAAAACTTTCTGATTTCAGAAGCAATACGTGTTTATGGTAGGAAATTTGGGGAAAGTCAAAGAAGAAAACAAAAAGGCTCTGTCTTCCACCCCTTGGAGACAAGCACTTTGAATCCTGTGATGCGTTTTGTTTAGCTTTTTCCTTTCTAATAAACATGGTGGTCAGAAGTTTGACTGACTCATAAGCAGAATTAAAACGATCACCATAATAAGCAAAGGAGACTCCATGCCATTAAAGAATATGAGGAATATGTATTTTATCTCACTGTGGGTTATTGTTTTCTTTTTAAGTGGTAGAAATTAAGCAGAAAAAAGAAAACCTTCACCATTAGGTTGACCATATCTACCTAATTTCCTAATTGTGCCCTTTTGCCCAAGAGCCAGTGATCAGATTATGTTAAGTGTTAGATTAACCACATTGGCTTTTGGGTGCAAATCTCCCTAACCAGCTTGCATTGCAGATCTTGGAGTCAATAGGCTGTTTCCCATCATCCCTTTCAATTCTATCTTATGAAAACTCCTTTGGACCTTTTTTTTTTTTTTTTTTTTTTTTTTAATTTATTTGACAGAGAGACAGCGAGAAAACACAAGCAGGGGGAGTGGGAGAGGGAGAAGCAGGCTTCCTGCTGAGCAGGGACCCAATGGAGGGCTCCATCCCAGGACTCTGGGACCGTGACCTGAGCCGAAGGCAGATGGTTAATGACTGAGCCACTCAGGGGCCCCTCCTTTGGACCTTTCCTACCATCCTGTTCCTGCTCACTCAAGCTTGATCTTTGGAGATGGCGGCCTCACCAGAGCCATGTTGGAGCACTGGTTGATCTCTCCTTGCCCTGCCGCCTTGGGACCCGAATTGCTCTCCTTGACCTGCCTCCTCTGACCAGAAGCTCTCCATACTTTGCTGTTGGAAAAGCTGTGGTCTCCCTATGCCCTCCTCTTTGACCTTCCCCTGGAGACTCCTGGCACTCTGCATAAGCTGGGCTCCCCCCTTGGTGTCTTATTTCTGATTTTCCTGCCCCCTGCCTGTGTGACAGGTCCAGAATGGTGAGGCCAAGCTGTCTTAATGGTCAGTGCATGCACTTGGCCACCATCTCCCCACTCCCCTATTAGACTCACAGAAACTCACCAGTTTGCTTTAAACAAACCTCATCGATAGCATTTTAGCATCTTGGATGTTTCCAGACACCCTCATCATCTTTATACTTGTCTTTGCCTGTTACCTGCCCACACATCACACTGGAAGATCTGGTACCACAACCACTGCTCAGGATACCACCAAACAAGTAGTGGATTGATTCTCAACTAGTTTTTGGTGAGGCCGGAAGGCTTGGAACCCTTCTGTTACACACAGCTGACTGGGGAAGCAATTGGAAGGATTTGTCATCTTGGCAAGTGAAATCCACCTTTATGCATTCATCAAGTATGAGTGCCGTGTGGTGAGGGTACAAAATTGATTAAGGTCCAGTCAAATCCTATACGTTCTGAGCCCCATGACTTTCCCCATGAAGAAAGAAGAAGATATAAATCGATAGTGTGTGCAATCAGAAAGAGACAGGAACTCTTAATCCATTTGAAGTAGATAAAAGTTTCTCAACTGGGATGGTGGGTGAGGTTGGATGAGAAAAGTATTCCAGACAGAGGGAAAGGCACAGAATAATGAAAGAGTGTGGAGTGTTTGCAGAATGGAAGACTAGACTAGGCATAGGAGGACACAAGAGGAAAGGAGGCTGAGCTGTTAGGTTGTCCACTCTACTGCTCACCCCCTCTGAGAACCGCACAGTTCGATTATCAGATCTGGCCTTTCTTCTTCATCTGGTAGGAGCCCCTTCCTTCTCAGGATTGATCCAGCCTCCCTTATTTCACCAAAACTTGCTTCCTGGGCCCCACTCCCTCAAGCCCTTGCATTTGAGCTGTGAACAGGGCTTTGGAGGACAATGCATGGGGTCACTCAGGCCCTGTGGACATCCAGCAGGGGATGATAATGGAAGCCAGAATTTGGGTACCACTCAGACCTACCAGAGGCAGCCACATCCACACCCTCCAGGTTTGCTGAGAACTTGTCATTGCCCCCTTACAATGCCGTGTATGCTCTCCACTCCTGCAGGCAAAATTCTCTTCCGACGGAGCCACATCCGGGACGTGGCCGTCAAACGCCTCATACCGATTGATGAGTACTGTAAGGTAAGTCTAAGAAATGCTAACACTTCCCTGTGTCTCATGTCTTCCCTTTAGGTTGTTTCTTTCCTTCTTTTCCCTTTCTGGCTACAAAATAGTCATTGCGAGCAACCCACAGTTGAAAGAAATGTAAAAACCAGAAAATCAACCACCCATGAGTCCTCAGAGGCAACAGTTATTAAGGTTTCTACATGTTTCCTTTCTAGTTTTTCTCTCTGTATGCATTTCTTTATGGTGTTGACACCATCCCATATGTGTTATTTTTGTTGCTCTTTCTTTTTTCTCTAATATTGTGATATAAGAATTTCCCCATGGTATAAAAACATCTTCTTGAGCCTACTTTAAATGGATGCATAGTATTCCACTGGGTGTGAATGTTCCAGAAGTTATTCAGTCCCTGTCCTTGGACAGTGCAGCTGGCTTCCAATCCCTTGAATGTTCTAAATCACAAGGGGCCTGCCTTTTGGCTACATCTCCTTTGATTTGCAGCTGTGGTTGGGAAAGAAGCATGCTTTTCCTTTGTCTAGGTTCCCTTACCTTTAGTATTATTTCTCTAACTTAAAATCACTAGCAGCTCTGATTGGAGAAGGGTGGGAATAACAAGAAATGCCTTAACAATGGAGCAGCAGAGATTGGAAACAAAGCAAATGTATTTGTTCTCTCACATCTGTCCTGCATTTTCCTGGAGGTTCTAGCCAGTGTACACAGGGAAAAAAGAAAATAAAAGGCATACAGTTCGGAAAGGAAGAAATAAAACTGCCTTGATTCACAGATGACATGATTCTGTTGGAGAAAATCGTAAGGGAGCCACAAGAAAAAAAAAATACTAGAACTAATAAGTTTAGTAAGATTACAGGATACAAGATCGATATAAAAAATCAACTGTTGGGGCGCCTGGGTGGCTCAGATGGTTAGGCGTCTGCCTTCAGCACAGGTCATGATCCCAGGGTCCTGGGATCGAGCCCCGCATTGGGCTCCTGGCTCAGCGGGGAGCCTGCTTCTCCCTCTGCCTCTGCCTCTCCCCCTGCTCATGCTCTCTCTCTCTCTGTGTCTCAAATGAATAAATAAAATATTAAAAAAAAAAAAAAATCAACTGTAGAGGCACCTGGCTGGCTCAATCGGTGGAATGTGAGACTCTTGATCTCAGGGTTGTAAGTTCAAGCCTGACATTGGGCATGGAGCCTCATTGAAAAAAAAAATAAAATAAAAAAATAAAAAATAAAAATCTTTCTTTATTAAAAAAAAAAAATCAGTTGTACCTCTAAATACTAAGCATGAACAATCCAAAAATGAAATTAAGAAAATAATTCCACTCACAATAACATCAAAAAGAATAAAATACTTAGGGGCGCCTGGGTGGCTCAGATGGTTAGCGTCTGCCTTTGGCTCAGGTCATGATCCCAGAGTCCTGCGATCGAGCCCTTCATCAGGCTCCTGGCTCAGTGGGGAGCCTGCTTCTCCCTCTCCCTCTGCCTTTGCCTCTGCCCCTGCTCATGCTCTCGCTCTCTCTCTGTATCAAATTAATAAATAAAATCTTTAAAAAAAAAAGAATAAAATACTTAGGAATAAATTGAATAAAAGAAGTACAAGGTTTATACATTAAAACTACAAAACACTGTTGAGAAAAACTAAACCAGCTCTAAATTAATGGAGAGACATTACATACTCATGGATTAGAAGACTCAGTAGTGTTAAAATGGCACTTCTTACTACTCAGGCATAAAAAAGAATGATATCTTGCCATTTGCAATGACATGGATAGAACTAGAGAGTATTATGCTAGGTGAAACAAGTCAAAGAAAAACAAATGCTCTATGATTTCATTCATATGTGGAATTTAAGAAACAAAACAAACGAGCAAAGGGGAAAAAAAAGAGAGGCAAACCAAGAAACAGACTCTTAACTATAGAGAATAAACTGATGGTTTCCAGAGGTGAAAGCGGGGCGGGGGGGGGGGAGGGGGCGGAGATGGGTAAAATAGTGATGGGGATTGAGGAGTGCACTTGCTGTGATGAGCACCAGGTGAAGTATGGAAGTGCTAAATCACTGTATTGTGCACTAAAACTAGTATTACACTGAATACTAACTGGAATTTAAATAAAAACTTAAAAAAATCTAGGAGAATAAATTAGAATTTGGGGGTCAGGATGAATTTCTTAATAAGAACAACGTGTGTGTGTGTGTGTGTGTGTTATATGTGGAATTTGTAGAAATTGATGTGAAAAAGACAAACAACCATACAGGGAAAATGGGCAAAGGACAGGATTGGAAATACAAAAAAAAAAAGATAAATCCCAATGACAAACAAAAAATAACAAAAAAATAATAAATAAATAAAGTGGCAGTTCTTCCCCAATCGATCTATACATTCAATATAATCTCTGTCAAACTCCTAGTAAGCTTTTTTGTAGAAATTAACAAGCTGATCCTAAATTGTATGGAGAAATGCAAGGAACCCAAAATAGCCAAAACAATTATGAAAAAAAAGAACAAAATTAGAGGCTTATAGTACCCATTTCAAAACTTCCTACAAAAGCTACAGTAATCAAGACTGGCATAAGGATAGGCACGTAGACCAGTAGAACAGAAGTGAGGGCCTAGAAATAAACTTTTGTGAAATTTATGGTCAATTGATTTTCAGCAATGGTGCCAAGAAATTCAATAGGGACAGGATAATCTTTTTAACAGTGTGGGATAATAGGATATCCATACACCAAAAAAAAGGGGAAAAAATTAAGTTGGATCCCTACTTCACACCATGCACAAAAATCAACTCAAAATGATCACAGACCTAAACATAAGAGCTAAAATTATAAAACTTCTAGAAGAAAACAGGAGAAAATCTTTATGACCATGATTTAGGCAGAGAGTTCCTAGATATGACACCAAAAGAGAAAAATTGGTAAGTTGGACTTCATTAAACTTCCAAACTCTGTACTTCAAAAAAATCCGGTGAAGAAAATAAAAAGACATGTCACAGATTAGGAGAAAATATTTGTAAATCATCTCTGACAAGGGACTTGTATTGAATCTATACAAAGAACTCTTAAAACTTAACCATAAAGATGTTCCGGTTTAAAAATAGACAAAAGAGACCTTTACCGGGCTGGGCAGGCAGGCAGGGGTTTGGCTCTGGCAGCGGCGCTGCGATGTGGTTCGAGATCCTGCCCGGGATCGGCGTCATGGCCGTGTGCTTGGTCATCCCCGGCATAGCCACGGCGCACAACCACAGGAAAAAAGGGTTGCCTATTATCCGTATCAGTGGAGTTTGATGCAAAGAGGTAGGTGGGTCTCTGGAGTTAATCGTTACTATGTGTCAAAGGGTTTGGAGAATATCGATTAAGGAAGCATTTTCCTGATTGATGAAAAATAACTCAGTCATACTCATCTACCCCTTCTAGAAGGTTATGCAGTGTATTAATGTAGTGCATAATAAAAACAACAAAAAAGTAAATAAATAAATAAAAATAGACAAAAGATGTGAATAGAAATTTCACCCAAGAAGATGCATGATGGTTAATAAGCACATGAAAAGGTGTTCAGCTTCATTAATCATTAGGCAATCATTAGGTAATGAGAAACCTGCACAGCCACTGGAATGGCTATAATCCACAAGATAGACAAAACCAAGAACTGGTGAGGATATGGAGAAACTGGAGCCCTCGCTCTGGTGGGGACACAGGATGAGAAGCCACTCTGGAAAATAGTTTGGCACTTTCTTCCACAAGTGAAATATGACCACTCTTAGGTATCTACTCCAGAGAATTGAAAACTTACATCCACACAAAGACTTGAATGTACATGTTTGTAGCAGTACTAACTCATAATAGCCAAAAACTGGAAGCAATCCAGATGTCCATCATCAGGTGCATAGATAAAGAAAATGTGGAATACCCATACAATAGAATATTTTTGACAATAAAATGCAGTGAAATCCTGATAAATATTGCAACTTGGATGACTCTCAAACACATGATGCTAAAAGAAGCCAGATGCAAAAGGCTACGTGTTGCATGATTCCATCTCCATGAAATGTGCAGAAAAGGCAACTTTATAGAGACAGAGAGCAGATCAGTGGTTTCCAAGGCCTGAGGACAGTGCAGGCAGAGATGGACCACACGTTAGGTGGGGGAAATTTTTGAGGCGATGGAAAAGTTCTAAAACTAGATTGTGGTGTTGGCTGCACAACTCTATAATTTACTAAATATCATTGAATTGTGTACTTAGAATGCGTGGATTTTATAATACATAAATTATACTTCAATACATCTTTAAAAAAATGTAAAGGGGGGCAGTGTGGGGATATATGACCCTTGTCTTGGCAAGAGACCTCATGGAAGGGCAGAAAATCACTCCTGATCACTCCTGATCACTCCTGTCTTCTCTTTGCCAAACATGACCTCCTTTCATCCCTCCAACAACCTTAAGAAATAGGTTTTATTATTCCCATTGCGTAGGCGAAGAAACAGAGACACAAGAAAGTTACTTACAACAATAGTATTGGAGGATTTGATGGTTGAATGCTGGCCTTTTAGGACTTGGCCCTCACATACCACTTACAGCCTCTCTCTCTCTCTCCTAAGGATATCCTTAAAAAGGGATTGGGGAGTGAAGGGCAGGGAAGGTCACCCAGGCACAAAGGTACTACTACTGCCTCCCAACTCTCAGAGGAAATTTCAGATCTTCTCCTCTTTGTGTCTTTTCAAACCTCTAGAGCCTAAAAGTCCTTTGTCCAGGCCTTGCTGGCAAGAACTTCGGACCTCTGGGGTTATCTTGGCCAGCTGGGGATTTCCACCTGGTACCTTCCCTAGCAACTATTGTCTCTCAGCCCAAAGTGTGCTATCCTGCTTCTTACCCCGGCCCACCCAGCTTCTCCCCAGAGTGACACTTTATACCCAGGACTTCACGAACCTCCAGATACTTGATTTGGAAAAGGAGATTTAAAATCATGAAATGAGGGGCACCTGTGTGGCTCAGTTGGGCATCCAACTCTTGATTTTGGCTCAGGTTGTGATCTTGGGGGTCGTGGGATCGAGCCCCGAGACTCCAGGCTCAGCAGGAAGTGTGCTTGAGGTTCTCTCTCTCTCCCTCTCCCTCTGCCCATCTACCCCCAAAATAAATAAATAAATCTTTTTTAAAAATCCTGAAATAAAAAGAGATAGCAGCAGCTGCCTGCATCTGGCTGATGCTTGGAATGGTATAGAGATCATGAATTCACCTGGTTTCACCATAGGGAAGAAGTGGCTTATGTCAGATGAGCCACATGAAAGTTACCACTCCGTGCAATTAATGCATCATAAGAAGCAGAACAGAGCAGATATTTTGGGGTTTGGGTTGGCCAAATTCCCCGGCTTGGCTTCAAGGGAACTGCCCTCCTGGAAGGAGATGAAACTATCTATTCCAAGGTTTGCAAAATCTTTTACAGACTACACAGACTTTTACTTAACATTTGAGTATCTGTTATTGGCATTGTTTTGAGCTGACTTAAGCCAATTTAACCTATAACTATTAGCTTTATTTTAGTAGAAATTGGTAGTCTCCAATAGATAAAGATAGAGAAAGGCTGTAGGTATCCCAAACCTAATTCCAACTAGGAAGAAACTTTCTGCTCTACTAGACCTATTATAAAGTTACAGTAATTAACATAGTGTGGTGTTGGCACAAGGATAGGCAGACCATTGGAACTAAATAGAGAAGCCAGAAACAGACCTGTGTGTATTTGAACACTTAAATACTGACAAAGGCAGCGTTGCCGATCATTGAGGAAAGGTTGGCTTCCTCAGTAAGTGGGGATCTTTATGGGGGAAAAAAAATGGTAACTAACCCCTGCCTCACACCATACGTGTAATCATTTCCAAGGAAATTAAAGACCTAAATGTAAGAGGCAATAGTATAAAAGGTTTTATTTATTTATTTTTTTTTAAAGATTTTATTTATTTATTTGAGACAGAGAGAATGAGAGACAGAGAGCATGAGAGGGAGGAGGGTCAGAGGGAGAAGCAGACTCCCTGCCGAGCAGGGAGCCCGATGCGGAACTCGATCCTGGGACTCCAGGATCATGACCTGAGCCGAAGGCAGTCGCTTAACCAACTGAGCCACCCAGGCGCCCCGTATAAAAGGTTTTAAAAGATAAAAATAGGGGGGAAAAAACTTTATAATCTCTAGGTATAGAGGGATTTTTAAAGACAAAGTACCAGCCATTAAAAGATTGATTTATTTGACTACATTAAATTTAAGAACCTCTGTTCATTGAAGAACACAGTGAAAACAAAACTTGGCCAAATACTGCCACATATACAAGCATTATCAAGCAGCTCCCTAAACAGCCTCTCAAGTTGTTCTGTAAGCTTATTGAAACACCAGCTGTCAGTCTGACACCACTTTGCATGGACATTTCCTCGAGACAAATGGAATGATATCCCAGTGCCAGGATCTGCTAATCCCACCCTGGTCTGACATTTAAATCCCCTAGAAGAAACAGAACACAGAGGATTCAGAATCCTAGACCCTGGGCACCATTTTGGAGGATGGACTTGGCACGTTCTTTTCATGCAAGGGCCAGAGTATCTGAGAATATTTCTAGAATATCCCTCATTTCACCAGTAAAGAATATCATTTCTAACAACTGTTGTGCTGGTGGATAAAGGCTACAGTGTTGGTCAGAGGTCAAGATAACTGAAGCCATGAGATAGCCTTTTCTAGAGTGAGGACTTGTGATGAGAGTTCTTTACTTGCCAAAGTGTTCATTTCTGATGAAGATTGAAATTTTTACTAACCATCATTGGGGTGTAGCTTAAATCTAACACACACACACATACACACACAGACAGACACACACATGAGTGTGTTTGCCCATACTGTGGTATTTTGAACTAAATGATAGGCAGTCTAATAACAGTGTTTACCAGACTCCAGCCATTTGAGACCTCCTGTCAAGATGTTTACTGTATACTACCACCTGTATTATTATTATTAAAATTAACTCACTTTAACTTCTTAAAAATAATACATTTTAGAGGAAATTTTATAATACATCATAATATAAAACTGCTAAAACTTGCCAAAAATAAAAGAGCAATGAAACAATAGCAACAAAGGATATGTCTTTAAGTCAAGCCAGCTGCTGCCTGCCTACCCAAAGCCCCGAACTACCTGGTCCTGCTCTTTTTCTTTTTTCTTTTTTAAGGTTTATTTATTTATTTTAGAGCATGTGCCAGTGAGGGCTGGGGGAGGGGCAGAGGGAGAGAATCTTCAAGCTGATCCCCCGCTGAGCACCGAGCCCCACGCAGGGCTCAATCCCATGACCCATAAGGTCATGACCTGAGCCAAAACCAAGAGTTGGATGCTCAACTGACTGAGCCACCCAGGTGCCCCAACCTGGTCCTGCTCTTAAAGAGACAAGTTAGAAAAGCTTTTTCTTCCAGGAATTTCCCAGTTTTAGGTCTTATGTTTAAGTCTTTAATCCATTTGGAGTGGATTTTTGCGTGTGGTGTAAGATAAGGGCCCAGTGTCATTCTTTTGCATGTGGATGTTGTTCTCCCAGCACCATTTGTTGAAGAGACTGTCCCTTTCCTGTTATATGTTCTCGGTGCCTTTGTCAAAGACCAGTTGCCTATATGTGTGGATTTATTTGAGGGCTTTTGGCAGTGATTTCATGGATATGATACCAAAAGCAGAGGCAACAAAAATAAAAATAAACTAGTGGGACTACATCAAACTAAAAAGCTGCACAATAAAGGAAATAATCAACAGAGTAAAAAAGCAACATACAAAATGGAAGAAAATATTTGCAAATCATATATCTGTCAAGGGGTCAATCTCAAATATATAAAGAACCCATATATCTCAAGAGTAAAAAAGCTAATAACCTGATTTAAAAATGGGCTAAGGCCTTGAATAGACAGTTCTCCAAAGAAGATACACAAATAACCAACTGGTATATGAAAAACTGCTTAATGTCACTCATCATCAGGGAAATGCAAATCAAAACCACAATGTGATACCACCTCACATTTGTCAGGATGGCTATTATAAAAAAACAAAAACAAAAAACAAGTGTTGGTAAGGATATGGAGAAACTGGAACACTTGCATACTGTTGGTGGGAATGCGAAATGCAGCCCCTATGAAAAACAGTATGGAGGTTCCTCAAAAAATTAAAAATAGTGCTACCATATGATCCAGCAATCCCACTTCTTGGTATACATCCAAAGAAATTGAAGTCAGGATCTGGAAGAGAGATTAGCACTCCCATGCTAGCACTATTCCTGATAGCCAAGATGTAGAAACAACCTGAACGTGGTATATACATACAACAGAATACTATTCCACCTTTTGAAAGGATATTCGACAATATGTCACAATGTGGATGAACCTTAAGGACGCTTTACGAAGTGAAATAAGCCAGTCGCAGAAAGATAAAATCCCACATGATTCCACTTACATGATCTGAAATAGTCAAGCTCAGAATCACAGAGCAAAATGGTAGTTGCTGGGGGCCGGAGGGACAGAAAAACGGGGCGTTACTAACCGACGGGTATAAAGTTGCGGCCAAGCAAGAGGAGTAAGCTCTAGAGATCCACAGTACAACACCCAATAATACTGTATTGTGCACTTAAAATTTGTCACGAGGATAGATCTCGTGGTGAGTGTTCTTATCACACTGAAATAAAATTTTAAAAATATAATGAGAGAAAAGTGGTAATTCGCTGGGGCATTCATTTTGAAGTTCAAGAGGATTGAAAGAACTGAGAAAACCCAACTCCCTCACTAGGCGAGGCATTGTTATTTAGCAGAGCCGTCTTGCTGGCTCTAGAATCACCTCCCGGAACCACTACACTACTGTACTTGATTAATACAGTACCGAGAGACAAAGAGTTAATGTTGTCAAGCAGCTAGTGTATGATGGAAATCTTAAAGCCACTTCCTCACTTATTCTGTAGCACAACCTTCCAAGGTGGGTGTTTGTGATTTCCATTTTACAGATGAGCAAACTGAAGCTCAGAGAGGTGCTGGGACATGGCCAGAGCGAGAATCAGGAGCTGGGGCTATCTGACCTTTATCATGACTCTCAGCAAACAGGACTCTTTCTGCTCACCTCTCCTCTCATCCCTGCATCGACCAGCCACATCTATCCAAAGGGCCAGGATTCTCTCCGGGACAGAACTGAGTTTTCCTGGAACTGTGGTTCTTTGTTTTTACTGACCGAACACAAGACAGTTCTGGAGTATTTCAGAAGCAGAATTATTTCTCTGCCCCAGGTCATGTTTTTATGTTAGCCTGTCCTTCCAAAATGAAAGGGGTAAACATCAAAGCATTCAGTGCCGCCTTTTATTAGTAACTTGGCTGTATTTTATGGTTTAGGGATTTGGCTTTTACTTCCTAGGAATTGCTCAAAACCAAAAGGGAACTTGGCATTGTCAGGAGGTTTCCGTGGGCCTCGTTGTCCCTTCCCTCACTGGTCCTTTAGGAGCCTCTGATCATTTCAGCAGGGAGCACCCCGGGAGCCCCCCCGTAGGTGGAGCCATGGCCACCTCAGGGCCCACCCTGCTCTCCCTCATGGCATTGGTCCAGGGAATACTTTCAACCAGGCATCAGGGGCTCCCCAACACTATCTAGACCTCTGGGAAGGTGCAGGAGAAACAGCCACATACCCCTGCCTTCTGTGGGTTCGGGGTGGAGGAGCTGGAGTCGGCCAGCCCTGGGCTCTCCAGTCCTACTTACTTCGCCAGATCTTCCATTTCCCCATCTCCGAAATGGGCCAGCCCTCCCAGGACTGCATGGAATGACACAGACGAACGCCTTCTGGGAGCCGTCGAGTGCTGAGCCGACATAAGGGAATGGTGTTCTTGCAGTCTGGGGGCAACCGCAAGATCTCTGCACACAAAGCAGCCAGGACACACCACGGTCCAGCATATAATCAGCTCCTTCATTATGTGGTTCTAACTGTACGAACTACAGGATTTCAGAGGAAAGCGAGACCAGCAGGGGCCCCGAAGACAGCAGCTCGTCCCAAGCAGAATGAATCCTCCAAACCAGAAAGAGAAGAAGGTCAGAAGCTAGAGGCAGGGGAGGGAAGCGCCTGCTCTCTCTCTTGGCCTCTCTGCCTCTGGCTTGGAAAAGATCAGTCCCTGGGGATTTGCTGCAGAGCAGGAGCTACTTCAGTAAAATCAATGAGCCACAGATAGCAGGCCCTTCTGGGGTGAAGAGCTTGGACAGTGACTAGGGAAATCACCCTGCTAAAACAAGTCCACCGACCTCACGTCTTCTTCAGCTTTAGGTATGAGACAGCTTGAACCTGGGGGTCTGGCTTAAAGTCAGAGCCAGACTCAAAGGCCGTATAGGGTCAGCTACCCAGGTGACCATCAGTGGGTGAATGAATAAACAGGATGTGGCATAGCCAGGGACACCTGGGTGGCTCAGTCGTTAAGCGTCTGCCTTCGGCTCAGGTTGTGATCCCAGAGTCCTGGGATCAAGTCCCACATCAGGCTCCTTGCTCAGTGAGGAGCCTGCTTCTCCCTCTCCCTCCTCTGCTGCTCCCCCTGCTTGTGCTCTCTCTCTCTCTGACAAATAAATAAAAATCTTTAAAAAAAAAAAAAAAAAAGAATGTGGCATAGCCATAGGGTGGAATATTATTCAGCCTTGAAAAGGAAGGAAATTCCAGCACCTGCTACAGCATAGATGAACCTTGAGGCCATTAGCTAAATACAAGCAGCCTGGCATAAAAGGACAAATATTGTATGATTCCACTTATATGAGGTACTTGGAGTAATCAAATTCATACAGACAGAAGGTAGAACAGTTGCCAGGAGCTGAGGGAAGGAGGAATTATTTAATAGGTACAGGGCTTCAGTTTTGCAAAATAGAAAGCATTCTGGGGATGGTTCCCTAACAAGGCAAATGTACTTAATACCACTGAACTGTATGCTTAAAAATGCTAAAGATGATAGGGTGCCTGGATGGCTCAGTCTGTAGAGCAGGTGACTCTTGGTCTCGTGGTCATGAGTTTGAGCCCCACATGGGGCATGGAGCCTACTTAAAAAAATGATTAAGATGGCAAATTTTATGTGTTATTTTACCACAATTAAAACTTTTTACTTATTTATTTATTTATTTATTAGATTTTATTTATTTTGACAGAGCATGAGCAGGGGGGAGGGGCAAAGGGAGAGGGAGAAGAGGCTCCCAGCAGAGCAGAGAGACCCACGTGGGGCTCGATCCCAGGAACCTGGGATCACGACCTGAGCCAAAGGCAAACACTTAACCAACTGAGCCACCCAGGCGCCCCTAAAACTTCTTAAAAATCAGAAAAATAAGTCAAAATACCCCTGAAACCTTGAGGAAGGGACCACTGGAGACCCCCATCCGTCTCTCCATTAGTCCATCGTATGCCAGGAGCAGCGTTGGAGGACCACTTTGCAGGGGATGAATGGGAGGTGAGCTTTTAGAGGTTTGTTATCTAGCAAATATAGGACATGTTTTTTTCCACTCCCAACTCACTCAACGCTTGCAGGAGGCTCATGAGAGGCACCCCGGAACTGAGGCCTTCTGTGGAGAGGAGCAGGGTCTTGCCTCCCTCCAGAGCAGGAACTGGCGGGCTGAAATGACGGGCAGAATTGCCCATGCTCTTGACGTCTGGGCATGTGCGCAGGCGCGCTCCCTGCACAGAAGTTTGTACGAGAATGTGTGCATGACGCAGCTCTCCTGCACTGCGATCTGCATCCTCAGGCCCCGGGCCAGAAGGGGCTTAAATAAAGATCTGTTGAACTAAGCTGTTTATTCATGATGGAGCTTCGTCTTAGTTTCATATTCTTTCAGGATCGGGATGTACACATCCTTCTCTCATATTGGACACAGACACCAGTGCAGTGCTGGGCCCAGAAATCATGTCTGTTGAATCATTGAATGGATACCTGTTGGGAGATGAACGGGCATAACGAATGCCTAGTCCCCGTGGTGCCCTCCACCCACTCCTTATCCAACCCGCTGGCAGACACCTGAGGCTCCTTTAACTGATGAGCTAGGATGGCAAATTAATATGGACTGGGGCAGTGACAGATGCCAGATGTTTCTAGCCCTCAGTAGCCTGGACACTTCTAACCTCTACCCAAATCATAAAGCAGTGCCCTCGCTGTAACACTGCAGCTCTGTGAGTTAAGACACGCATGCAGGCATGTTGGAAACCAGCTTAGCGTTCACCAGTAGGCAGCTGGGTCAATAAAATACGATACGTTTGTGCAATAGACACCCTCAAGATCCAGTAGACATGAAGTCATAGAAGAATAATGACATGGCATGAAGTCCCTAGTTTAGTGTTTTAGATAAATGTATACATATTCTTTGCTCAGATATGCCCATAACATGTATGTGCACGCCTGTGTGTGTGTGTGTGGTCCCCAAACCAGCAGCAACACCAGGGAACTTGTCAGATATGCACATTCTCAGGCCCCACCCCAGACCTACTGAATCAGAAAATCTGGGACCCAACCGTCTGATTTCACAAGCCCCCCAGGTGATTCTTATCATACCCAAGTTTGAGAAGCCCTGACTCATGGCATTCCTGACACCCCTCTCCTTCCTTTGGACTCATTTGTGTCTCTTCTCCAGGCCCTGATCCAGCTGCCCCCCTATATCTCTCAGTGTGATGAGGTGCTGCAGTTCTTTGAGACAAGACCCGAGGACCTGAATCCCCCCAAAGAGTAAGTTGGTGTGTGGACTTCCCTAGAGTGTGCCCTCACAGCCAGCCCTGCTCCCAGGCCGGGCCCAAGAGGAATTGGAGTAGAGCAAAGTAAAAAATTCAACTTGACCACCGTGATTGAGCCCTTGTGGGGCCTTGCTCCATGTGGCCCGCACAGGGGAAGGAAGCTGGCCTAGGGTCACTCCTGGAATCTCCTACACGCCTGCACGTACGAGGCACGCGTGGAGAGTGGTGGAAGCGGGAGCCTAGATGCCCTTGGGGTAGGGCCTTGCCCACAAGGGTGAAAGTGCTCGTGACCGTGAGGGATATGGATGAATGAATGACAAGACCTGCTCGAGGTCTCAGTGCTCGTGAGTGACAGGGCCGGGGCCAGAATTTGATCCTGGTCATCCAGGGTCTAACACTATCCCAAAATGTTCACCCCAGCCCCTGCAGCAGACAGAAAACACTCCCAGGTGCCTGTCTCTGCGTAGCCAGTGGTCCCGGCAGCCCAGGCGCGCTGGAGAGACTCTCCCCCCAGCCTGCTGGCTTTACACATCAGGAGTTGATGGCACCGATGACCCTGCCCGCCCAAAACACTGACCTACACATAGCGCTTATTAAAAAAGTTTAATTGTGGGGGAAACCACCATGCGTGTCTGCGGAGAGAAGAGTTCTCTGTAATGGAGCAGTCGCAGGGCTGGGGGTGGGGTGGGGACCAGCCCACAGGGGCGGGGCAGTCTGGGGTCAGAGGGCCCAGAGCCAGCACCTGTCGGGAAGGGCTGAGAAGTGCCAGCCAGGCTCTTGGGCCAGAGAGACAGAACAGGTGCAGGCGCACGCACGCACACGTACACACAAGTAGAACAGCTGCTAAAAATACAAAACGTAGCCTAGACTATACCAAAGAAAGCACAAAGTACCAGCTGTGATAAGCCAACAGCATCCTGCTGGAGTATATGTATCTAGTTCCAAGAGGCTTCCTGTAAAGAAGGAAAAGGTTCCAATCTCTCTGTCCCTTCCCTGCTATATGACTTTGAACAAGTGTCTTGACTTCTCTGAGCTTCTGTTTCCTCATCAGTAAAGTGGTCTTGGCTAACCTCGATCCCATGTTGGTTGTGAGGATTAAACACCATCCTGCCTGTAAAGGAGAGCCTGGTGCATGGCAGGTACCTACCTGGTGAGGCCTTCCTGTCTTTAAGCCAGGCTTTGACGTGCAAGGAAGGTGGGGAGGTTGCTGAAGGCCCAGGGGATGGCTCTGGGGCCACAGCAGGCAGTCAGTCTCAGGTGGGCCTTGGTTGTTGGTTCAGGGAGTAATGAAATAGCAACGAAACAGCTGGTCCCTTGATCAGGATCCTGAAGCTCATACCTGAGTTAGGGCTAAAGATGGAAACTGAGGGTCGTTCCCAGCAGTCTTTAGGGAGACAGAAGATGGATTCCAAATGGTGCTGTTAAAGGAAGGTTTTTTTTGCTGCCAGGCATAGGAAAACTTGGGACCGTCCCAAGCATGTCACACAGAGAAGATGATGTGCCTGGTGAGCCCACACATGCTGCTGCTTGATCCCAAGAGCCCCCCGCTGCCCCTAACTGCCGGCTCCGGCCAGGACAGCAAGACAACCAGCAGGAATATATGGCAGGCAGGAGCCCAGGACTTCAAGGAGCCCAGACCGTGGCTCAGGTCACAGGCCTTGATGGCAACTCAGGCAGATGGCGCTTTACACAGAGGCAGCCTTGAGGGACCTCTGTGGGTGTGTCTTGGATCTGGCCGCTAAGAAGGAGACTTCACCTACAGGCCAGGCCAGGGTTTGGTCAGGAGAGTGGGCCCCAGCCGGGCTCCCTGGGTTCTGATGTTGGGTGAGGTGCTTCATCTCTCTGGGCCTCCGTGTCTCCACCTGTGAAATGGAGTAACCCTCAAGGATTATTATGAACGTTCATCCGGTGGGTCCAGATACAGCACTCTGACCAGCACCCTGTACCCAGTAAGTGCCGGTAAACGTGAGCTAGATTATTCGGCTGTTGCTCTCACCCTCCCCCGCACAGGGGCGATGAAGTTTAGCCCCACTGAGGTAATGCGTGGCCAGGGGACAGCACAACCAACCAGCGCAGCCCAGCACTGGGGCCAGGCCCTGCTGCTCCTCCCAGGTGCACAGCAGTGCAGCCCCAGGCTCAGGGGATTGGCTTAGCCCCCTCTCCCTCTCCCACGATGCCCGCGATGACAGGGACAGGGTCATTACATGCTGGTGAAAAAGCCAGACTTGAAAATCAGACTGAACTTGACATTTCTCCGAAGAAGATACACAAATGGCCAATAAGCAGAGAAGAGAAGAAGCTGCTCAGCATCGTTAGCCATCAGGAAATGCGAATCCAAACCACAACCGCTGGAATGGCTAGAACCAAAAAGCAGAGAGCAGTGAGTGTTGTCGAAGATGTGAGGAAACTGCATTGGTGTCACTGCAGGCGAGCTCATAAGATGGTGCAGCTGCTATGGAAGACAGCCTGGCAGTTCCTCAAAAAGTGAAACCGAGAGTTACCATGTGACCTGGCATTCCGTTCCAGCATAGACCCAAGAGAAATAAAAATACACGTCCACACAAAAACCCGTGTCCACATTCACAGAAGCAGGATTCGTAAGAGCCAAAAATGTGGAAACAACCCAGTGCCTCTCAGCTGATGAACACGTCAGCCAAGTGTGGTTTACCCACACAGCGGGGTTTTATTCAGCCATAAGAAGGAATAAAATACTCATCCGTGGTACAAGGTGCTTGGCCCTTGAAAACATGCCACCCGAAAGAAGCCAGTCACAACGAGCTTCATACTGTATGATCCCATTCATATAAAACGTCCAGAATAGACAAATCGTTAGCATCAATAGCAAATTAGTATTTGCCAGCAGTTGGGGGGAGTGCGAACAGCAAGTGACTATTTCTAGGTACAGGGTTTCTCTTTGGAATGATGAATATTTTCTGGAATTAGTTAAGTGTTTCTAGGTACAGGGTTTCTCTTTGGAATGATGAATATTTTCTGGAATTAGTAAGTGACTGTTTCTAGGTACAGGGTTTCTCTTTGGAATAATGAATATTTTCTGGAATTAGACAGTGGTGATAATTACACAACCTTGTGAATATGCTAAAAACCAGTGAACGCTGCACTTTAGAAGAATGAATTTTATAGTGCATGAATTATAGCTCAATTTTTAAAAATCAGGTAGATCTGGGTTCAGCTTGCACCTTGCTAGCTGTGTGGCCTTCAGCAAGTTACCTAGCCTCTCTGGGCCTCATTTTCCTAACCTAGAAAATGGGCATTAAAAGAGTACTTCTTTCCAAGGGTTATTATTAGTATTAAATGAGTGAACTAAAAGTACCCAGCCAGGGTACTGGCACAGGGTAATAACACTTAGTAATTATTAGCTGATGTTACTACTGCCACACCATCTGTCTCAACCCAACCATCTGGTCACCTCCCTTTTCCCTTTATAATATAGGAAACCTTTTTACTAATGGGATGCTTTATTTATAAGTATTTTGTAATCCCTGATTTGTAATATTGTATTGGTAATGCAGTTGTGTGTATAAATTCCAATGTGGCTGACAAATACAAGGGAGTCGGTACTCTTTATTCTGTATGAATCCTAGCCCACAGTAGTGTTCTCTATGTCACAGCGAGAGAGCCATGTTTTATTTACTGATATCTAGACTTCTACCCAGTTTTCGTGCGTTCCGCTTACACTTACCGCCGGGAGCTTTCTGCTCCATGAGTACAGCTCAGGGCAGCCCTAAGAAGTGGGGCAGGGCCTCAGCTGTGCCTGCCGAGGTGGGCATCAGGCCCTGTGCAACATGGGGGCCTAAGGTTGTTTTCATACTGCATGCCCCCACATCAACCCCTCCCTAGGACCCTCTGCTCTGCAAATAGAGTAGACATGCTGGTCCCCGGGGTGCTAGAGCACTTACAGGGCAAAGGGAGAAGAATAAGAGGAATTCTTTCTTTTTGAAAGAATCTGGGTCCCCGGGGCTGCCTCTGATTATGTTCATTCACTGGAGATGTTGTGGGATGGAGAATCTCAGTTTCCTAATGGAATAACTCATGTCACCGTGTAACCCTACTGACTCGTTACTCTCTCCCACCCCCTTCTTTCCTGTGCAGGGAGCATGTTGGGAAAAAGAAATCTGGTAAGAATATTTTGCATTTTCATTCTTTCAATGTTCAACATACCCCTGCTGAGCACCTCTGATCGCCAGGCCCTGGGCACTGCCTGAGGAATACAGCATGTGACTGGGTGGATGGATGGATGGATGGATGGATGGATGGATGGATGGATGCTTGGTTGATTGGTTGATATTCCAGCCTGTTTCCCAGAAAAAGAATTAGAGGTTGTTGCATCCTATACCAAAAAGGTACAGACTGGATAAGACCTGCTGTCTTTCCCTGAGAATGCCTCAGAGGAGTAGGGGAGCCCAACACCCCCTGACCAGATGTAGGGGGTTAGGTACCTCTTCTCTGCTGTAGACAGAGGAATGTGGTGCCTCACAGCTGAGAGCATTCTTCCCAGGTGTTGGAAGGGGTCAAAAAAGAAGAGACACTGGGTCTTGAAGAGTGAGCAGGAGCTTTCCACAGAGCGAAGGGTGGCTGGGATTGAGGAGAGGTGCACAGGTGGGAGGCCCAGCCTCCATGCTTCCCTTAGTCGGCCACTGTTCTGGGCAGTAACGGCCACCCTTTCCAGCATCTCTGGCGCTCACTCCCTTCTCCCGAGCATCAGTGCCCTCCCTTCCCAGCCTCCCTTCTCCACCCTGGAAGGCACAGCTCTTCTCTCTAGAGCAATGATGGAGAAAGAGAAGGTGGGGATTCGGGTATGCACAAAGGAATGACTCAGTCTTTGCAGGCCTGGGGTTGACAACTTTAGATTCACAACAGTCTGACCTTTCCTTCCAGCAACCCAGGATTATCTGCCCCCACCCCATATCTGCAAAGTCCCCTGCCCACAACCCCCATACCTACAGCCAGCATGGTCTTCAGAGCTTCTAGAAGTCTA